TTAATGTTTTCAAATGTATATTGATATATATGTATTTCTATGTAGACAGAAGTCCGCATGGTCAAAGCAATGGTATTCCCAGTAGTCATGTATGGCTGCGAGAGTTGGACTATAAGGAAGACCTACCGAAGAATAGATTCTTTTGAACTATGGTGCTGGAGAAGACTCTTGAGAATCCCTTGGACTGCAAGAAGATCAAATCAGTCAATCCTAAAAGAAATCAACCCTGACTGTTCCCTGGAAGGCCAGATAATGAAACTGAAGCTCAAATACTTTGGCCACCAAATGAGAAGGGAGCACTCCCTGGAGAAGACCCTGATGAAATTGAGCAAACTTTAGAGGACAGCGGAAAACAGGAGGGCCTGGCGAGATCTTGTCCATGGGGTCCTGAAGAGTTGGACTCGACTGTGCCACTGAACAACAAAAATGTAGACAGATATGGGTGGGGCACATCAGTATTACAAAATGAATACATATTACAAAAATGTGTAGTGGTTAGAGTGTTGGACTAGGATCTTGGAGACCAATGTTCCCTCTAAGCTATGGAGTCTTGTGAGCAAAAATTCTACTTTGTAAGCTACTGGCATTAAAGTTGTGAGCGAGTGATTCGGCTACTGTGTAAATTAGTTTGCTCTGGAGCCATCCTTCCTGAGCTAAGAGAAAAATCTGTGAGCTGGAGGCTAAAAAACTGAGCTAGCTCACACTAACTCAGCTTAGAGGGAACACTGTTGGAGACCTGGTTTTAAATTCTCACTTTGCTATGGAAACTCTCTGGGGTGACCTTGGGCCATTCATGTACTCTCTGAGTAACCTGTCTCACACAGAATGTAAGCTGTTTGGGGGTCTATGGGGGAGAAAGGCAAGATACAAAGTAAATTAAAAGGATTATTAAAATGCAATATGAGATATATACCATAGAATTTCAAGATTAAAACTTCCTTAAAATTCTCTTGTGAGAATTCTAGTGTGAGGCTGAGGCTGATACGGTATTTTTATCATTCATTTTAAAGGTTTGTGTTCCACTTTTCTAGCTATCACCCTTCCTCCAAGGTGCTGACTGAGGGTGGCATACATGAGGCTTCTTTTTTTAAAAACGGTACTTACTGGTACAGAGTACCAGCACTGTTTTTCAGAGATCTCCCAAGTCTTTATCATGCTCTGATCTGCTGCCCCACTCAGCCAGAGAGTGGACCAGGAACAACCTAGTGAGGGTCTGCTGAGGAAGGGGGGAATTGGTGGAAACTGGCACCACATTATATAACTGTAATTGTGCCTTTTTCACCAAAAAAAGAAGAAAAGCACTGGATCTCCAAGTGGCCAAGGCACGAGGTAGGTCTGGCTGAGTGAGTGACTGGCCCATAGTGGTCACCCATTGAGTTTTATCAGCATGTCATGGCTGAGAGACAATTCGAAAACATGCCTCCACAGTCAATGTATGACGTTTTAGCCACTTTTCTAAAACAAAGGTCATAACAGTGAACATATAATACATACATAATTAAAATCAGCAGGAGTAGTTCACCAATGGGCTGCATGTGCATCCAAACAGTTGGAAGGAGACTAATAAATGTTGAACATTGTCAACTTGTTTTTCTTAAATGTGATTTTAGTATGTTGTACTGGTCTTTTTAAATTGTTTATATTGGTTTTTGTCTGTAAGCTGCCTTGCACACCATGGAATGAGTAAAATCAACCAATATAAATAAAATACATATTTGTCTTATTCTTTCTGGGGCAAGAACAAATCACATTGATACACACGCATTCTATTATGTCTCCAGTCACTCTCAGGTGGGCTGTTGAGAAAGGGTTAGGTTATTATTTATATGCACAACAGATTATCAGTTATTAATGTTTGGGGTACATCTTATTGAATTTTTTTCTGTCTGTGTATTTATGCAAATTGTGTGTATGTGATATTTCAGTACATCAAAATATTTTATATTTGATACTCTGTTGTGGGCACGTATAAAAGACTTTCTGGTGTACATTTTTTGCCATTTGCAGTGTCTTAAATTGTGATTCTTTTCTATTATAATTATATACAAGTGGTTTTATAGATTACAATGAAGTATTAATATTCAGATTTTATATCAGATGTCAGCATATAACATTTTTTGCAATTTCAGTGTTTCACTGTAGAAATGTTAAACAAATTTAATTTTCCAGGTATTTGTAGGTTCAGACTTCACTTCAGACTCCTCGATGGGCAGTATTTCAAGAAAGGGAGGATAGGTACCTGAACTTCTTGCTCTGTTTGCATTTATTAAATATATTGATTTCCCTCCCCCAAGCATTTAAAAGGTCTATTTCATCTGGACTTTTTCTATAGCTATCTGTATTTACATAGGGTTTCTATATATCAGTATTAATAACCATAACACAATAGCCCTGAAAGGTAGGCCACTTTCATTATACCTATATGAGATACAGACATATAGAATCTTTCACTGTTCACTGTGAAGTCAACTGCCAAGGCTGTCAGATAAATTCTGGAACAGGCATATGGAGAGCCAATGTAGTGCAGTGGTTAGTATTGGATTTGGAAGACACAGGTTCGAATCCCCACTCTTCCATGGATCCCCACTCTTCCATGGGCCAGTCACAAGCTCCATCTAACCTACCTCACAGAGTTGTTGTGAGGATAACATTGAGGAGAGAACAATGTAAGCCATTTTGGGTCCCCACTGGGAAGAAGGCCAAGGCATAAATGAAGCAGATAACTAAATATATAAATTTAAACCTCGGATTTTCTAGCTGATATTGCAGTACCAGATCAAGATCTTATATGTGTGAAACTGTCATCTCAAGTACACTTACTGGGGGGAAATACCCACTGATTTCAGATGGATTTGATTCTGAGTAAACATGCTCAGAACTGGGTTGCGTGAGCTGCACAGAAAGAAGAGCTTTGCCAATGTGCAGCTACTCCCTGCTGGGCAGCACTACGAAGCAGCACCAGGTGAGGTTGTTTGTCACTTGCAGCAGAGGATATATTCCGAAGATGCCCAGAAGTTTATATTTGTGTTCGTCCTTGAAGAACTCTTGTGAATAAGCCTGTGCATTTTCCTTCCCTCTTCTGTTAAGCCATCTGTAGGAGGTCTCAGGTTTGGCCCCCAAAATCTGCAATTGAAGGATCTCTCAGGGTAGCAGATTTTGCAACAGACTTTTTTCCTAACTGACCCATGCAGAGCCATTGTCAGTAAGAACAGAGTGCTCATTTAGATGGAGCAAAGGCCTGAGGCCGCATAAAGCAGTGTCCTGTGTTTGTAGGGGCTCATTTGTTGTGAGTACATGAACTGCACTAGTTTGATTGGAATTTTTATGATTGTTTGATGTTTTAGCCAGTAGAGGGCAATACAGCCATTCCTAACTGGAAAGCTTATGTAAACTTGCATCTACCTGCACATGGTCAGAAATCAAAGCTTCTCAACCTAAGTTAAACTCTCTAAATTAAAGAAATAACCCCTTGAGCCTGGGACTCAGTCTGAGTAAGCCAAAGATGTATCCCAGAAGTTTGTTTATTTATTGCAGGATTTATCCCTATTCAAACAAATGGGAGTCTTGTGACCCCTTAAAGGATAATACATTTTTAGTCTAGCTTTCATGTTCTGCCAGGATAGTCATGTTTATTTTATCTGCAGCAAACGAACACATCTACTATTTTGGAATTACACTTGGTGTTGAATTATTTAAGCAGTGCTATCAGTGTCTTCAGTACTTTTCAAAGTAAAAAAAAAGTCCCTGCCCCAAGGAACCTACAAACTAAAAATTGATATAAAGGATCTAGAAGAGGAAAAATAGAGGAAGTATCTTTATTTGTTCCAGTCACAGTGCTTAGGATGTGATTCAGTACCGGGAATTCTGTGTAACCCTTAAATCCCCATACTGAATCAAATCCTATGCACTGTAATTGGAATTAATGTAAGATTTCACAGAAAAGGTAGGTTTTGAGGAAGGAGTTTGACGAGGCAATCATAAAGGCTTTTTCTGGAGCATAAACACCATTGAGTAAAAGGAGCCTTACTTCTGAGTAGACTTGCTTTGGATTGCCTCTAGTAAGTGAGAGAGGTGTTCTAGGAGGTGGTTTAAGCCATAAGGGCCAGAGGGAACAAAGGGCAGAGTCATTTGAGAGAGCTGGTGGTGTGAGATCAGTGGAGCTGGATGGGAGGAGTGGGGAAATAATGGGGAGGGGGAGAACGCAAGGCCATGCAGGGGGTTGAAAATAAAGACAAGGAATTTATGGTGGAACATAAAAGAAGATAGCAGGACGATTTAATTTTGTTAAATGGAGATGTGAATAAGGAACAATAACTGAAAAAGTCTAGACTATCCCGTCAGAAGAAAGGACCTCTGGCAAATCAAAGACCACTGCCCAATGCTAAAAAACAGAGTTGGGGCAGTCCTCTCTAGCAGAAGATCCCTAACAGCAGCCCAGCAGCCCTGAAGGATAGCTTTCCCACCACATTCCCCTAAAAAATGGAACATTAAGGCTTTCTGTTCAATGCCTTTGCCTGGCTGCCAGTGCTCCATGCAGTGGCTTCATGGCAGGCAAAATGATGTGGTGGGAATACTTGTAAAAAGAAAGCTTGCAAGTGACAAATTAAGGGACCTGCAACATGCTGCTTGGTCCCCCCAGCCCCCCCCCCCCCGCTTCAGCCCTTCTGGCCAATCCTGATGCCTTCTACGATTCTCTCACTGTTTAGAGCCACATCTCATCTCAGTGTGCTCAGCCTTCAGCATGCTGTTCCTTCGCCTCCACTTGGCAGGCTCCCCCCCACCCCCAGACTCCAAACCAAACTCCCAGCCCAGTTCGATGAGGCCTTCATCTGACGGCTCCTGGAAACTTTGCAAGTTCAAGGTGACTTCTTCAGACCGAGCCCATTCTCCACCTCCTTCCACACAGCTTGCTATCCGCCGGCTCTTGCCTAGCCAATCAGGGAGCAAGCAGGGCTGGGTCTGAGGGGCTCCTCCCCTGCAAAGGGCGAAATTACACCTCTTTGTAAATAGCCACTTTCATGTCGGCAACGATATCTTTGATTAAAAAAAAAAAAGGATCGTCCAAGCTTACTCAGCAGAATCCACCGCAGCTGTTGTTGAAATGTGGCTGACTTCCAGATCACTTGGTGCCTGGGCATCGATGTGACTGAAGGGCTTAGCTGATTCTTTTCCGTGCTGCACACAGCCAGTAGGTGTCCACCGGCAACAGCGACAATTGCAACAGGAGCCACAACGCTGTAAGTTCCGAGGAGCTTGGGCTGGGGGATTGAACTTGGTTTTGCTTTCTGTCCAGTTCTGTGGCACACTTTCCCTCCCCATGTGGTTCCGACTTCGCTTGTTAGAACTGACAGCTAGCGCTGGTAATTTTCCTCCAATTCCCTCTGCTGGTGGCTAATTTTTTTGCAGGGGCAATGGAAAGGTACAAGGCCTGTTTTGTAACAGCAGGATGAATGAATGATGCAATTCTGCGCGGGGGCATCATCAGCATCTTACTGGGAAGCAGAAACTTGCTGATATTATGTACTGGATGTGACCTTCTCCTTCCTTTTTTCCTGTTGTGTTTTTGAAAGGATAGCTGAAGGAACTTCAGAATCCAAACTGGAAACATGGTCACAAAGTTACAAATAAACAATTATTTACTGCCAAGTTTAGGAAGTATTATTTGTTTGCTGCACAAATTACCCTGTTGTCACTGCATTGCTTTCTGATGATGTAACAGTATTTCATGCCTTATATTTGCACTTTGTATCATGTTTAACATGTTATTCTTATACAGATTTCTTCAACCCTAGTCCTAGTACATTGCTTATTAGATGTCTCCTTGTATTGATTGTATCAGTTTATACTATGTAATCCACTTTGAATCTCAGTGATTTATATACATTATTTATATAATTTATACAGACATAAGTGCCATCCAGTCACAACCAATTTATGGTGATCTTGACAAGGGGTTTTTGAGGCAAGTGAGAAGGGCAGGAGGTTTGTCATTGCCTTCCTCTGTAGAATCTTCTTTGGTGGTCTCTCATCCAATTACTAAGACTATAACTATAGTAAATAAATAAATTGTTAAGAACATAAGAAACGCATTGCTGGACCAGACTGAAAGTCTATCTAGTCCAGCACCTGTTTCCCAACAGTCACCAGCTGTATGCTTCTAGAAAGCAACAACTATCCCTGGCTGTTCATCCACATCATCTAGCAGACTACCCCTGAACAAGGAAGTTCCATCAAACCACCATTATAGCAGATGGCGTGCAAGAGTTTTGGACTAAGACCAAGGATACCTGAGTTCAACTCCCTGCTTAGCCTTGTGACCCTGGCCAGTCACTCTCTCTTAGCCTAAACTTCCTCACAGGATTTGTGATAGGGTATGAGTTTTTGTGGGTCACTGCTCACCTCTTCAGAAGTATCTGAAGAAGTGAGCAGTGACTCATGAGAGTTCATACCCTACCACAAATTTTGTTAGTCAAATACCTTTAATGGCATGGCAGTAAGATACATAGATATGCAATAACACAGTATGGGATTTTTTGTTAGTCTTTAAGGCGCTACTGGACTCTTACTGTTTTCTGCTGCTACAGACAGACTAACATGGCTGCCCATCTTGATCTACCTCACAGGGTAGTCGTGAGCATGAAATAAGGGCGAGGGGAACAACATGTGGTTTCATGAGCTCCTTAGATGAAGGATAGAATAAATGTGTGGCTCAGATTGTACAAGGAAGAGATAGATTGTAATAGATCATGGCTAGGAACTGTCTATAGACTTATTTTTATCTCCATTTTTTAAATAAACAATTTTATTTTTGACAAGACAAACAAAAAACAAGCAAACGTACATACAAAAATTTGGGGATTCCAGTTACAACATTATTTATCTGTTAAGTTACCTCATACATTGTCTAACTATATTTTTTATTTCATCATATATTTTTGAATAAATCTTTGCTTATAACTAAAAAAATATAGTTCATATCTTCTTCAGATTCGGTTGTATATCTACACGTCTTATTCCATCAATTTATAAAACCTTGTCCAAGTATTCTCGAAGTTCCTCTCATTTTGTCCTCTCAATATTAAAGTTAATTTGTCCATCTCTGCAGTTTCCAATATTTTATTTATAATTTCTTCTTTTAAAGGTACCTCATTTTTTCTCTAATATTCGGCATATAATATTCTTGCAGCTGTCACTACATGTATAATAAGATAGGAATCTTCCTTTTTACAATTTTCAAGTAATATATTCAATAAAAACAATTCTGGAGTATAGGGTAAAGTACATTTTAACATTTTTTGTAGCAATTCATGAATCCAAGACTAATATTTTTAACTCTATCACAGGTCCACCACATATGAAAAAAAGAACCAACATTTTCTTGACATTTCCAGCAATCATTAGGTAATTCAGGATAAAACTTTCCTAGTTTATCTGGAGTAATATACCATCTATAAAACATTTTGCAATTTTATCTCCATTAATCCTTTCTTAAAGCCATTTAAATCACCGTCATATCTTGTGGAAGAGGAGTCCATAAGTTCAGGATGCATCATGTGAAGAAATATTAGTGAAAGACAGTGTAGAGTTTTACAAAGTTTGGAAACTTCTGCCTGCTTTTATTAACAAAAACAAGTGCATCAAAAACAGGTCTAAAGGTGAGTATCTGTGTAAAAGGCAAAACAAAATCTTGCCTTAATAGACTCCTCCCTTAATTTTGCTCCAATAATGGTTTATGTAAATGCAGTTCAATTAACTTAGGCTGCAATCCTGCATTCAATTATCCCGCAAAGCTGTGTCCTTCCAATTTGACTGGAAAGTACATGATGTAACTTAGTGCAGGATTGCAGCCTCTGTTTGTATAAAGCATTCTTGTGGCAGAACTCATTTCTCTTCAGGGTTTTGTGTGCTTTGGCATAGAAGGTGATGTTCTGAGCTGGTCAGTGAATCAGTAAAGGGACAAGAAAAAAGTAACCTAAGATAAAAGCAATGTTTGGATCAGACAGGAGTTCTCAGCCTTTTTGAGCCTGTGAACACCTTTGGGATTCTGACACAGGGTGGTGGGCACAGCCACAAAATGGCCATCACAGGAACGAGAGCTGGCTGTACAATAGCTGCTGCAGCTTGCCTTCAGTCCCCCGGCAAATATCTTTGTGCTGCGGTAGCAGCTTCTGTCAAAGTAACATTTCTAAAAATCTGCAGTGCCAGTCACATTTTCAGTGACCAATCAGAAAAGCCCCACTCAGCCCCACCCCGTCCTACTTCCTGAAAATATTTGGCAGGCATGAGGAAAGGTGTTGGTGGGTGCCATGGTGTCCATGGGCACCACATTGTGGACCTCTGGGACAGGGCATAGAAGCCAGTCCCCAGTCAGTGGAAACCCTTCTGATTCTGAGCCTCCAATAGACAGTTCATCTCTCATTGCAGCCAAAAAGGCTTGGGTGGGGGTTTTGAGAAGAGATTTGAATTAGGTACTGAGACCGTGCCACAAATAATTTGGAGGAGGAGGAGGAGGAGATTGGATTTATACCCCACCCTTCTCTCAGAGCAGTTTACAGTCTCCTTCCCTTCCTGTCAGGTGGGGCTGAGAGAGCTCTGAGAGAACTGCTCTCGAGAGAACAGCTCTGAGAGAACCGTGGCTTGCCCAAGGTCACCCAGCAGCTGTATGTGGAGGAGTGGGGAATCAAACCCGGTTCTTTACAGATTAGAGTCTACCACTCCTAACCATGACACCAAAATACGAAGTGAAAGACATGTGAACAGCAAACTGCCAGCAGGAAGACCCTGCTGAGATAAGATGAGATTGGCCTGTACCATACCATTCCAAACCCCATTTTTTCAGTAGAGAAATAGAATTCTGGGTACCTTCTACCTGCTAAATGGGGAGCGTCCAATGCCTAGGTGCAAAAGATTTGTCACTTCCAGGCACAATGATGGCACACACAAACACCCCAGCTCCCTACCCTTTTGCAGGATCTTGGCATGGCCCTTCTTAACATGGAGTTTGATAACAGTTTCACCTATTACCTTGCACAAATAATGGAGGAGAACATATCTGAGACAGATTAAAGCTTATGTGTTCCACATCTGTCTGAGAGATGTCTGAGAGATGTTCTCCTCCATTATTTGTGCAAGGTAATAGGTGAAACTGTTATCAAACTCCATGTGAATTGGGCAGCTTTTCCATTGAAGTGCAATTTTTCATACATTATTAAACTAATGGCCCTTCTTAAGCCAGTGAACAGCAAGAGAGAGGTCTGCTGCAGCATTCCTGGACACAAACATGTATACTTTTTTGCCCTTATGGCAACAGGTGACTTATGGCAACCACAAAAGGTTTCCAAGGCAAGAGACATTCTGGGGTGGTTTGCCACTGCCTGCCTCTGCATCACCGCCCTGGTATTCCTTGGAGGTCTCCCGTCCAAGTGCCTGCCAGGGCCGACCCTGCTTAGCTTCCAAGGTCTGATGAGATCAGGCTAGCCTGGGCTCTCCAGGGCAGGGCAGAAGAGGAATATACAGCAAATAATTTTGCATGGATAATATTTTTACGTATTCTAACAAGAACAGAAGGGTGAAAGAAACATATACCATAAAATATATCTATTTACCAAACATCAGGGGTCATTTCGTAGAAAAAGAGCTAGGGGAACTCATTAGCATAACTCATTAGCATATGCCACACCCCCTGACATCAGGGGCCCGGCGGTGGACCTGCAAAGCCAGCTGGAGTGCGAGGAAGCCCCGCGAAGGCCCTCCCTGGCCCCAGGCAGGCAGGGGTGGGGAGAGGCAGGGAGGAAGCAACTTACCCTCCCTCTTCTCCTGCTTCCTCCTGGCTGAATGAGGGCTGGAAGCGGGGCGGCCGGAAGCAGGGGGCGGGACTTTGTCATGTGCCCCGCCCGCTGCACCTCACCCGGGGGAACTGCGTTCCCCCGCGTTCCCCCCCGAAATGACCTCTGCCAAACATGCACCAATCTTGTACCTGCCACAAATGTACAGTAACTGATTTATAGAAAATCAATAGCTGTTACCAATAATTGGCTTGTGACTTGTGACAATTCCGAACCATAAGCACAAACAAATGTGAGCAAAGGAAAAAACTTTGAAAGTGAAGGAGCAGTAAAACGTTAAAGATGAAGCGAGGAAGGTGTTTCACTCTAGGCCCTAGCCTGGTAAATTGTGAATAATGTGGCTGAAGAGGCCCCTTCCAGCAAGCCCCTGCTGACCCCTTGGCTCTTAGCAC